TGAAGACAGCTGATAACTGGCATACGGCCCTGGTCCCCTCTCTGCCTCCAACACAGAGCCCTCCTCAGAGCCTTCCCCAGACTCCACGACCGGCCCATGTTCCTCCCCAACCTCCTCACTGTCCGAATCTGCCGCCAGCTCTGCTGGTCACTGGCAGGCCCACATCATCTCCACCCAGTCAGTTCCTGGTGCCCAAAAGATTAGGAGCTGCTTGCTCAGGCCATAAAAGCACAGACCCCCGGTTATGGCATCAAACCCACCTCATCCTTCTCCAAGAATTCCCGGACATCTGGGTCCTGCAGCATGGTGGGGTGGCTTATGGTTCTTTGAATGTATCTGTGGGATTGGAATGCAGAAGTTCCGTTTTAACTCCGCGAAGAAGAATCCCTCCTTTTAAAAGAGAATTTGCAAGGCTGGCTTGTAGGCCGACACCATCCGTCGATTAGAGGAGGCATGATCACGGACGCAACCTCCAATCAATACAGGGGCAGGGATGGGGAGGATAACTAAGACACCATAACTTGAATGCCAGAATGGACTGGAAAATCCATAGACATTTTGGGTAGAGGAAATGGCGAAAGCCATTTATGGTGGCTTGAAAACAGGATGGCTGTTGTGGAACTGAGCTATCCTTAAGGGAAGTGTTCTGCCTCCATCGAAACTGGAATTATGAAAAGAAAAATAGGAAGAACACAACTGGGGTTCCCCTTCTCACTTCCGTATTTGGAGGAGATTAGAAGAGGAAATTCATCCGGGTGAATTTGCTCAGACAGGAGTTTCTCCTGGAGTCCATTCCAGACAAAACAATCAGATTTCAGGAACCCGTAGGCCAGGTTCCAGAGAATAATTTCCATTGACTGCTCACGGGGACAGCCCTACGGAACGCATCTCCGAAGAAATTTTGGAAGGACGCGTTCTCCTGCGACGGGTTGAAACGCCAGTGAGGTCCTTCACAGGTTGATATGTCTGAGGACCATCAACAGGAAATATCTGGGGGCGTTTGAGATGCGTTGGACCTTTGTTCCTCTTGATCAGCAAGTTGTGTGAGCCCAGGGAGTTCTTCCTAATGAGGCAAATTTCCCGACCCAGAGTAACAAACCAACTGCACCAACTTGTGGTTGCAACACCCGCCAACGAGGGACACAAACTCCCAACCTTTCTAAGGCAGCTCTTCGTTTCTCTAAGAATTCTGTGGAGGAAGAGTCTTCTTTTCCAACTTTGACTTTGGTCATCCCTGGGACAAGAGGAAAAAAAAAGAAAAGAAAAACAAGGACCGGAGTTAGCTGCATGGCATATACCAGGGGTTTAATTTAGATCAGTGGTCTCCAACCTTGGCAACTTTAAAACTTGTGGACTTCAACTTTAGCTAGCCGAGGAACTCTGGGAATTGAAGTCCACAAGCCTTAAAGCAAAGCTGGCTGAGGAACTCTGGGAGTTGAAGTCTACAAGCCTTAAAGGAAAGCTGGCAGTTGAGGAACTCTGGGAGTTGAAGTCCACAAGCCTTAAAGCAAAGCTGGCAGCTGAGGAAATCTGGGAGTTGAAGTCC